CCTTAGGTGACCTTCCACCTTTCTGGAAGCTAACCCTCTTCTACTTCCCAAAGATACAATCTTCACAAACCCCGACTTCCACGGTGTTGATCCCGGTTAGTTTTTCCTATGAATGTAAGATCTTCATCCCCTTCTTGCTCATGTGCCCTAGTCTATTGTGCCACAGATCTGTACTCTCTTTGCCAGCTGTAATTGCGAGGGTGTTACTCGCATATAAAGTGAGGTAGAGAGTTTCTAGTTTTTTGTCTCGAGCAACAACCATCGTACCGTTGGAGATTCTCCACGAATCCTCTGTGAATGTTAAAACATAGCCTTCTGCTCAAGCTGTCCCACCGAAACAAGATTCCTCTTCAGCTTCGGCACGTGTCTCACATTCTTTAAGGTCCACTTAGAGCCATTCATTTGAATCTGCACTTCGCCCTTTCCAACAATATTACATGGCTCGTTATTCCCCAAATACACTTTTTCAAAGTCCCATGCTACATAATTATGAAAGAGCTTCCTGTTAGCAGTGGCGTGGAAAGAGGCTCCTGAGTCAATGACCCAAGAATCCGAGTCGCTATCCATAGCAAGGATCAAGGAATCCTGCACGATAACCTCCTGCTCACCCGCATCCTTCTTTGGACTCTTGCAGACTGAAGACATATGACCCTCCTGGCCGCAGTTCCAACACTTCCCTTTAATAGGTCTAACCTTCGAGTTCGACCTCTTCTTCACTGATTTTGATCGATTCCTGCTCTGGTTTCCTTTCTTCTGGCATTTGCCTCTCTGTTCGAAGTTTAGGGCTGAACCTGAACCTTCTGATTCAGATGATTTCCTTCTAACCTCCTCGGATAGAATCATGCTAACAACCTCACTCAGCTTCAACTTCTCCTTCCCCGTCGAATTGCTGATTACCGTCACACAACCTGCCCAACTATCCGGCAACTGCAATAGAATCAATAGGGCTTGCACTTCGTCATCAAACGTGATGTCTAGGTGATGAGTTGATCAACAATCGTGTTGAACTCACTGAGGTGCATCGTGAAGGACCGACCTTCTGCCATCTTGAGGTTGAAAAGAGTTTTGATGAGATACACTTTGTTTGCTGCCAATGGTTGCTCGTACATCTTCGCGAGCGCTTCCATAAGTCCCACCGTCGTCTTCTCCTTTAATATGTTGTTGGCTACTGATTTGTCGAGCGACAACTGGATTTTCCCTAGAGCCTTCCTATCCAGTATCTCCTAAACACCATCTGACTCTTCTTTCTTCTGTCCCTTCTCCCTGCCCATCAACGAGCGATACAAGTCCTTCTGGTACATATAGTCCTCCATCTGCGACTTCCAGTAGGCGAAGTCTGAACCGTCAAATTTCTCGATCTTTGATTTGATTTTCTCTGTCATGGCTTTCGCACAAATTGCTGAACGAAGCTCTGATACCAGTTGTTGGGGAATCCGAAACAATCAAATCAGATCCTTGCCCTTCCGGACCTTGTGTTGAAAGTAGGAAAGTAGGAAATTCACCACAAATAAAAAAAATCAAAACTTGTAACGAAGATAAAAGAGACGAACACACAGATTTGCCGAGGTTCGGCAACGTGCCTACGTCCTCGGGAGCCACACTATACAATTCCTTTATTAATTAAAGAAGAATTACAAGCTCTCAAACTAGGTTTTATCTCTCAGAGATTCTCTCTCTTTTCTGCAGTCAAAAACTCTCTTTTTTCGTGCTCTATCAAACTCTAAAATGTTTGGGTATTTATATCAAACTCAGCCCAAACAGATTTCTTAAACAGTTTAGGAAACTGTCAAACAGCGTCGCGGTCGACCGCCAAGTTCCCGAGGTCGACCATAAAAATCGACAGAGCCTAGAAAAGTTACAGGGTTTGGCGCGGTCGACCGCCAAGCCAGATGCCGGCGATCATGATCAAAAGAGAGAAACTAAAATCCTACAGGGTTTGTGCGGTCAACCGCCACGGTCGACCGCGATCAGCTCCAGACTCTCCTGAGCACCTGTGCACGTTCGCGATCGACCGCCGCAAACTCGCGGTCGACCGTGGACCAGTCTGGCAGTTTTCTTCCTCGTTCTAATTCCAGCTCCGGCTTCGACTTTGGGTCTACACTTTAGATTAACATTTGGAGCTGTCCGACAATAACTTTCAAAATCATACTATACTCTTAATAAACTTTTGCCTGTCACAATATAAATTCATATCACTTCGCCAACATATCAAAACTAGTTCTCTTAACCCGCATGGAGAAATATATTGGCGACTCCTTAGATGTTCTATTTAAATGGGTATATGGGCATGATAAATTAGTAGGGCGAGTTCTGAGTCTTTTCACCTACTTATTAGTTATAAATGGGCGAATGAGCATAAAGCTACCTACACATACCCGCATGTTTGAATTTTTTTTCCTTGAGGAAAAAAAAAATAATAATGTACTGCCTCGTCAAACCCCAGAAGATAAAACCATGACCAAGAAAAAAAAAAGTACGGCAAATTTTGCCTTATTTATTCACTGAAAATAATATATATCTTGAGTTACGATAGAATGAATGAACGTTGGAATTTCCTCTAGCCAAACATAAACATCACAAATCAAAAGAGCATGGAGAGCCAAGCAATGAGCTGCTTTCCATCCCTTTTAGTATGAAAAAAAGAACAAAATTAAAGCCCATTTGATGTCCCTGGTTGAGGGAGATTAACAAGTAAATAAACTAACTCCACTTCTTATTTACCCATGATTTTTCCTTTTTTTTGGTTTCATTTACACACTAAACCCTGGTCGTATTCCTTAAAACCACGTTGGAGAAGTCGTCATCTACGTTTATTATTCATTGAAGCTCCCAAAAAGCTATATTTTTCTTTTTTTCTTAGAGCATCTCCAACCTTACTTTCCAAATTCCACTCTCCAAATTAGAATATTCCTATAATATTACAATCTGGAGAGTGAAATTTGGAGATTTGCTCTAACCCACACTCTCTAAATATTTTTTTTATTTTTTGTAAAAAAAAAAGTCATATAAATTAATAATGTTGGATATAGTTTACATTAATAATTTTATTTTTAATAATTTATTTGGAAAATAATAACATTAGAAAAGTATCGACGAGAGCTTTAAAATGAACCCAATATTAATAATACAATACAACATATTAAAAAAATAAAATTTGAAATAACAGTGACAAAGCATACATCGATAGAACAAGGAAGCAAACATAAACCTCTAATACAACATACCATAGGTCGCAAATATAAACCTCAAACATAAAATATGATAACAGATAATTAAAATTCCAGCAGGTCATTATCGTTTTAACTACCGGTTCCATCCAGAACTCTCGATGAACCCTCATATTCATTTCTTCCTACAGAACCAGCTTCTCCCACAAACTGAGAAAATCCTCCTTGATCTCCAGAGGGAAATCCATAGTCGAATGATGGAGCTCTATATTCCTTTCTATTAATAATTTCTTGTTTTTTTGTTGATAGTAAGCATCTTCACTTTGATCAATGATCTTACTTAGATCAATAAACATAATTTGTCTATCCTCGCTTTCACGCTGAAGAACTAATTATTGGTCACGTTGTTCTACTTCTCTAGCTCGCAATTCTAATTTTTTTTTTCATTTTCAAGTTTTATTATCATCAGTCACTTCATTTTTCCCCTGCTCATTTCACGTTTAGCATCCATCTCTTGCATACTCTTAATAATTCTCTCCTCAGAACTAAACTCCTCCGATGAAGAGACCCTTGATCTTTGCTTTCAAGGTAGGGAGATTGAACTAACTGAGCAGGAGGAGCGAGATGAAGTCTGGAAGAAATATTGGCTCGTCATCTTCAAGAGCGCAAAGAACGAAAACGTAAAGGATCGATTCCTAGTCATGTGGTGATCAATCGTGGAAGAGAAAAATGTAACTCTCAACTTTGGCACGATTATTTTTCTGAGAAACCCATATATGGGGATTCACTTTTTCGCAGAAGGTTTTGATGTCGACGAGATCTATTCCTTCAACGGAGTAAAAGAGCACGACAACTACTTGGTGCAGAAGAGAGATGGTCTTGGTGTATTGAGATTATTGACTTTACAAAAATGTAATAGCAGCACACCGCATGTTGGCGTACGGAACTTCGGCGGATAGTACCGACGAATATATTAGGATTGGTGAGTCAACCGTAATCCAATGCTTGAAGATGATTTATCGGACAATTATAGAGGTGGTCGGGAATGAATATTTGAGGCATCCCACTGCGGGTGACATTGCACGGTTGCTAAGGAAAAACGAAGAGCACAGATTTCCGGAAATGTTAGGCAGTTTAGGCTACATGCAGTGGAAATGAAAAAACTGTCCAACGGCTTATGCGAGACAGTACTCGGGATGTCACGGAGACCCAACAATGATTCTCGAGTCGAGGCAGTAGCCTCATATGACTTATGGATATGACATGCTTTTTTTTAGATTACCAGGATCTAACAATGATATTAACGTACTGCAATCTTATTTTTTTGGATTACCAGGATCTAACAATGATATTACCGGGAATGTAATTTAGATATTGTAATTTATGCTTGTATTTTTTATGGGGCAAGATCCATGTATTTAAATTTTCATGTCTGATAATTATTTATTTAATTTAAAAAATAATAATTTTATAATAATACTAAAATAAATTAATCTTAGTTTCATTTTGAAGATCTCGACGAGACCTTTCCAAATATATAATTATTTCAAAAATTAGATTAATAATTTTTTAATTATATTTATTTGAAATTAAACATCTAATTTAAATTACTAAAAATGATGGTAAAGTTGTAATTTTCAAGAAATTAAATAGTTGAAAATAGAAAAATTGTAAATAATAAAAGTTTGAATAGTGATTTGAGAGCCACTCCAAATTCTAGCTTCACTCTCCAAATTTAGAGAGTAAGCCATCTCTAAATTTGGAGATCTTCAAATTTAAAGAATGACTGGAGATCTCTGAATCTGGAGAGTGATTGGAGAGTAAACCATCTTCAAATTTGAAGAGTGATTGGATTCACTCTCTACCATCTTTAAATTTGGAGAGTGATTGGATTCACTCTCTAAATTTGGAGAGTAATTAGAGAGTAAATCATCTCTAAATTTGGAGATCTCTAAATTTAGAGAGTGATTGAAGATGATTTACTCTCCAAATTTGAAGAGACGGAGATTTTGTAGAGTGATTGGAGATACTCTTATACTACCTATTTAGTGTCAAAACCCCCATCTTCAACCTTCATCTCAATCTTATTTTTCTCATGGCATCCCCGAATCTCCTCGGCCCTCCCCAGAACTCCTCAACCATTAAAGAGCTCTCAAGCTCTGGAGCTCTCTCCTCCCTTCCTTCTCTTTATGCCTCCAAAGCCCATGAACTTGAGTCTGTGGTTGAAGATGGGCAGATCCCAGTCGTTGATTTCTCTCTGCTCACTGCAGGATCGCCGGAGAAGCGGTCTCAGATGATTCGAGAACTCGGCAAGGCCTGCGAGGAGTGGGGATTCTTCATGGTATCTATTACTCTATGTGGAACTAGTACTAAGTTTGTTTTCTGTGATTATTATGCTCAAAATTTTATTCTAATTCTTGAATTTTGTTTGTTCATGAGAGTTTATGTGATTTCTGAAGAATCAAGCACAAAATAATTTCATGTTTGATGTTCTGGTCCTGTAACTAGCCCGAAGGGCCACAGTTATTTCTGTTTGGAACTGAGTAATAGGGTGTGCCTTGACAAAAATATGCACAAGTAGGAGTAAATTTCTCTTCTTTTGGTAATTAGGGTTTAATTGTCGTAATTGTATAAATTTGGCTGATAATGAGATGCTAAGTAGTTCATGGATACGGATCCTTTCACTACCAAAAAATAGGGGAGAGAACGCTTCTTTTAGTATAGCGATTTTTTTTAGTGGATGATTGTGATTTATTTTGAGTGTGAATTAGGAATGAGTGTCATTCATAGGGGATATGGTAAGTACTAGATTTGGAATGAATAATAACTGCTCGCTAGACATTGTGTTTCATATTTTGTTAAGAATGCTCAAAATTTTGACATTGATGATCGTCATGCTCATGTACTAATTTCTTGTTATAGCTTGTGAACCATGGAGTGCCAGAGAAGTTCAGGGAGGGCATGATGGATGCACTTAAGGGGTTTTTCGATCTAACGGAGGAGGAGAAGAAAGAGTATGCAGATACGCACGTGCTGAATCCTATCCGATATGGGACCAGCTTTAATACAGCAAAGGAAGATGTAAGGTACTGGAGGGATTACCTGAAGGTGACCACACACCCAGAGTTTGTGTCGCCAACAAAGCCTGATGGCTTCAGGTAGCAAGCTTTTCGAATATGTCTCATATTATTTGCCCTTAATTATTTTAAGTATAGATGAAAAAAGAAGCATTGGTCCTTGACTGAGCTGAAAGAAAACATATTCTGAACATACGAAAATGATTCATGTAGCTAACTATTGTTTCCTTGACTGAGCTGAAAGCGAACATATTCTGCACATAAACAACTCTGGTGTCAACTATTGTTTCCCCAGTCTTCTTGCACTTTATCTTTAGACATAAAATGGAGACTTGTCGAATGTCTTCCAAAGGTGGTTGATTTCTCTATCATTGACACTCTGGATTTTTTTCCTCCTTTTCTTTTAGAGCAAGTACTTTGAGTACCTGTTGTTTTAATTATATGGATATTTTGTTTAAAATGTCTTATGAAAATTATAGACAGTAAAACATAATAATGTTCAGGTGGATGCAATAGACACAATGTTGAATGTCCTTAATAGCTCTTGTGGAGGTGGGTACAATTACAGTTGTTCTCCATTCAGTTTTTCATATAATTACAGTCATAACAGGGAGTAACTTCCTTTTATTTGGGAGGAAAATTTAAGGCATTACAATTGTCACAGAACTCATGTTAATGTGTATAGCAGGAATCGTGGTTCGAATATTGTTTAGTTCTATTAATCTAAACATAATATCTTAATTGCCATTCCTCATAGCGAGACATTGGAAGAATTCTGCAAACGCACAAGAGGGATAGCATGGGAACTTCTAAAAGGTATATGGGAGAGTCTAGGACTAGAGGAAAACTCCATCAAAGAGGCCTTGGGATACGACTCGAGCTGGCAGATCTTCGTCGGCAATATCTACCCTCCATGCCCGCAGCCTGATCTAGCAGTTGGCCTGCCGCCTCATTCCGACCACGGCCTCCTCAGCATCCTCTACCAGGATGGTACTGTTGACGGTCTTGAGGTGAAACATGACGGAAAGTGGGTCCGTGTCATGCCCCTACCCAACTCCTTCCTTATTAACACTGGTGATCACACTGAGGTATCTATTCTCACTCTATCCAGAAATTTGTTCGGTACATTTTTCAGTTAGTTAATCATAATTTGTTGTGTATATTAATGATTGAAATTGCTCATAACTTTTTGTCAGATTGCCAAAAATAGCAAGCCCCAGTATTGAGAATGATGTATGGTATTGTAGAATTCATGCTGAATTTTTTTTTTCTCTCTTTCCAAATGAATCATATAGTCACCGTGGTGGTGTAAATCCAATCAACATGTTAAATTTGGATGACATCCAATTAGGGGTGCATTTGGTCCGGATACGGCTTGAATATGATGCTTACCATATTCATATTCGCTTACCCATCTTGGATACGGATACGGATACAAATATGCCTCGTAAGGAAAATTCATATTCATATCTGCTAAAATCGGATATGGTTATGGATATAGATGCGGATATATAAGCGGATATGCATGCAGATACAGAAAAAATATAAGAAAACTAAATAGTATTGAGAAAAATATAGTTCATGTGATACAAAAGAGTTCGTTAATATGTTCATTATAACTGAAAAGCTAAGATCAGACATCTTGATCATCAAAATTAACCATAAATCCATAATCTAAGAATTGAAACTATCGTTAGAGTATGAATATATGTATTCGGATATTTTGGATATGGATATGGATATTTCACTACAAAACTATATCCGTAACTATATCCTATCAGTTATAGATTTGAGTAACCATATCCTAACGAATACGGTTATGGATATTTCTTCGGGTACGGATACAGTTTAGTACTCTTACATCCAATCATATTCTACAACTAAAATTAAATAGAGTTACCATTAGTTAGGTTGGTATTTAATCATAATTGGCTCAATCTCTAAGCAAAGCAGCACTCTTGCACGACGTGCTGAGGTTATTCAACCTGAGAATTACATAAAATACAAAGCATAGAAACATTGATATCATACTTCAACAGATTAATCTTTAGGACGAAGATGACAGCTTAACAGAGCTCTCTAAACATTTTAATCAACTATGTACAAAGTAGTATCGAACTAATTGTTTTACGTAATAGGAGAGAACAAGAAACATATCCGTGGAAGAAAGTTTCCTTATTATTTTCATAAATAAAATTGTCTAGTTTAACTTTTCATTTTTGTGCCCTTTGTAATGCTTTAAACATTTCACCCTGCAGATAGTCACAAATGGGAAGTACAAGAGTGTACTCCACCGTGCAGTGGTGAATGGCACAAACACGAGAATGTCGATTGTGGCTGCAGTTGGTCCATCAATGGATGCGGTTGTTGTTCCTGCGCCGGCACTTGTGAGCAGTGAGAGTCCAGCAACTTTCAGAGGAATAAGTTTCAGAGAGTATGCTGAGCGTCAACAAGGAAACAAGCTCAAGGATAAATCTGTTCTTGATTTCTTGCGACTCTAGAATCTGAACTTGATAACATATGTATTATCATTGGTTTGCTGCCGAAACAATGGATATTGAACTGCGCTGGAATAAATGTATCGTCTCAGTAATGTTTATCTTGGTGTCTTCAATGACTTAGATGAATGCATCCGTTTAGTACTATATTATTGGAGATCCTAAAATAAAGCTCCTAGATTTGTCCTAGTGCCTCATTTAGCTGCTTGCTTATTTATCTTTTTATCTAATTTGTGTTGTAATGACCATTTGGTCTCTGTCCGTGTTCCTAGATCTATTAAGGAGTATGATGGAAGCATTGAACATCCGAGTAATCACAAAAATAAATAAATAAATTAATAATATATATCATATTCTCTTTAAAAAGTACGAGTTCGGGAAAAGTTTTCCTTGGTCAATATTACCTTTTATTTTTTTCAAATATTTCATTTAAATTTTAATTTATCCTAATTCTAATTATATTTTATACTAATCTATAATCCCGCGTGAGCTATTTATAGCTCAACAATAAAAAAAAGATAAATAAAATATATCAAATAGTATTTTTAATATTTTATTTAAATCTTAATCTATCATAATACTAATTATATCCTATGCTAATCCCACTTAAACTACCTATAACTTAATAATTTAATAAAAATATGACTAAGAAAAAAATACGTAACTAACATATTATAATACATGAAGTATTACAAAAAACCCAAAAAATTGCACAAAATATTCTCAAAAGTTTAAAATTACTCAAAAACAACACATGAAATTTAAAAATCACCAACATGCCCTGATGAATTTAAAATTTATTATTAATACCCTCAACATTTCAAAATTGTAGAAACAACCTTATAAAAGTCCGAATTACAAAAAGTACTCTGAAATTTTGAAATTTCAGCACTTACAAATAATATAGACAAATTCAAGGGATTACCGTCATATACTTGAAAATTTAAAATTTGTAAAAAAATAATCTCAAAATTTGCATAATCTCATAAGCTTAATTATCTAGGTATTTTATGCCACTCATTCCGATATGGAAAAGAGGAGTTGTAACTCACCACCTTCTATCTCATACCCACCCACCCACCTGAAATACCAAAAAATCAATACTATTACAATCAAATTGTCAATTCAGCTTGACTTGACTTCGTTTATTACAGACCAATGGACATGTTACTATAAGGTGATGCCCTTCAGTCTCAAGAATACTAGCACTGTAGGCATCAAATTTTGCTTAAAGGTTCCCGTACGCAGCTCGAGATGAAGAAAAGACGATAAACATCAATGTCCGAGTCAAAGAAGTTAATCTGATGCCAAAAGGAAGCAAAGGAACATTATAAGGAACGCGCTAAATGACGAATCGGCGAAACAAATAAGCACAAAAATCAATGAAATAGCATAACAAAACACCACGAAAGTGTCTCACCTACGAGACACTTCAAAGTGTCTCACATGCGAGACACTTCAAGGTGTCTCGCCGGTGCGAGACACAATGATGTGTCTCGCGCACACAGACTGTCTCGCCTGGTCAGCCTCTCAACGACGTGTTTTTCGATAAGTTTCTCGTGATTCGTTCGTTCCAGTGGTCTCTTAACTACCTTGGGGTTATCTCTGAACATGGTGAAGTCGTTATTAACGGAAGATAAAGAAAAATCACAAAATCTTATCTACGAAAGTGGCGTTCAATCCCTATAAATACCCACCTTCATGCATTCGTGAAGGGTACTGACAGTTGACTAACGAACGTGCGAGAGAAACCACATTTTCCAGAGCAGAGCAATAATTTACACACACACACACACACACACACAGAGAGAGAGAGAGAGAGAGAGAGAGAGAGAGAGAGAGAGAGAGAGAGAGAGAGAGAGAGAGAGAGAGAGAGAGAGAGAGAGAGAGAGAGAGAAGGTCTTGGTGATTTTCTAAATATAAAGGGAGAATTTCGAGAGACCTATAGCCTTTCACCCGTTTCCTTGAGATCAGACCCTATTTTGATCTTGAGAAGAGTGGTAATCTCACTTTGTTGAGGTTATTAACTTATGTTCTAAGTTTCCTCGATTGAAACAAAGAACAACGAGCCTTCTTTCAGATCAACCCGGATCTGTTGTTTGGCGGTCCACAGATCAAAGCATCCCCGACATAGGCAAAGGTCCTATGCAAGCAGCAGATTAATAAACGATCTCTGCGTGTGTTTCTAGGAGATCTCATTTGTTTATTTTCGTTGTAACGAGAAATATTATAAAAAATTTAACTCTCTTGAATCTGTAATTGATAAACAATTATAATGGATTCAGCAATGAAAATGATTTCTGACGCAAACACGCTGGCGACCACAGTGAGAGCTAATGGTCTCGCTGTCGAGATCGGAGTGCCGCAACCGATCTAGATCCCGATTGATTCAACGGTCGAGTACGAATTCGAATAAGCTAAGTTCGAGGAATATCTCTCCTCATCTTCATCAAAGTCCCCCTCTCCCCGCAATCGCAGGAGGATCTCGTCTTTGAAGAAGTTTTGCCCGATCGTTACTGAATTTTCACCTCGCAACGTTATCCTGGCGACCCCCAATGTCGGAAGCTCTGCTCGAAACGACTCCTCCCCAGTTAAGGAGTCTTTCAACCAAATTTTGCCAACTCTGACGAAGAGGGCTCATTAGAGGCAATGCTAATGTCTCACTCGTCAGATCGCCAAGGCCCTGGAATCAGTCGACGGGCTTCGATACTATGCAGACTTGGAGTCCAGGAAGCATCAGGTAATCCAGCCGCCTCAATGGCAATTTTTTGTCACTTCCTCCAAGCTGTCGATGGAAGAATGGGTTCTCGTCAAGAGGATTCGTTCAACCCTGAAAGAACGCATCCAGAAGCATCGCGCACATACCGCGCACACGTGTTCCCTCGTGCAAAAGGCACAAGACATGAAGAAGGAAGAGGTGGCCAAAAAAACACTAAAATCCCCAAGGTTTGGGTGCTAAAAGCCAAAATAGTGCGAAAATCAAGTCGAGTCATGGCAAAAAATACTCCTATAGCCGAGACACCCTGAGATGTCTCTCGGGCCGAGACACCCCAAGTGTTGGCCTTTTTGTTTTGATAATGTTTAACAAATAATTTACTACTAATATTGTTTGTCTAGTGTTTGTGTTTTCTTATTTATTCTAGGTAAACAATATGTTAGAGGTTGGATGGATTGAGCTTACATGATCACATCAAATGGAGGTTGGCGAAAATAGTGGTATGGAGCCTTACAATTCAAGTTAAAGATTCAAGTACAAGCTTCATCCATAAAGTGTACCAAGTTGAGGTACATCAAAGATCAAGATAGCTTGGGTAATTTAGTTGTAGGTTTTTATATTATGCGTGTTAGTACTTTAAGCTCAATCATATATATACATACACGTTTTGATATATATATAGTTATATATATACATGTTTTGGTTTTTGGTTTTCAAGTTTATATAAATATAAATTTGTGAAAATAATAAGTTATTTGTTTATAGACTTAACAATCATTATATACATATTTCATTAAGTCTATATAATCATTTTATAGAGGTTTCAAAATATGGTTTAGCTAAAATATTAAAAACAAGTGTTGTGTATTTTCATGTTTTGGACATATTTTACAAATGATGTTGTGTATTATATTATTTACAATTATTTCCCAAAGTTTTATATTTTTCTAATTTTATTTGCTATTTTTAAAGGCAGTTTAAAAATCAGATTTACTATTTTAATTAGGCTGATAATGTGTTATCAGTTGACTGATGAAGTGTTCAGTCGACTGAAGAAATTGTCTGGAATAACAAAAATTTTCTGTTTTGTTTCGGTCGATAGACCAGTCGACTGATGAGGTCATTGGTCGACTGACAAGTTCATCAGTCGACTGAAGATGTGTTGTTGGCCTGTAACGGTCAGCTCATCACTCGAGTGATGAAAAATATTAGTCGACTAACGACATCATAATGGCTAGTTTTCCAGAATTTTTAGTTTCCGTTATTTTATATTTTTGTGATGTTTTCTCTTGGTTTTTGGGGTTATGTCATGAGCCTATATATACCCCATGCCCTCATACTTCTGAGGTAATCAAAGAATGTTTTAAACAGGTTTTACAAGGGTTTTAAGTTTTGTTTAAAAGTGTTTAAGAGTTTGTTTGAGTTTAGTTTGTGAAGCAATTTTCACAAGAGCAAAGAGGAAGATCATCCATTAGTGTTTGAGCATTCAACTATTCTCCCTATCTCTTGTTATCATTAGAGAAGTTTTTCTCAACCCATATCTAGCTATTTATATGTTTGATTTTCATTTCCATAAGCTAGAATTTACTTTGAGTTTAGATTTGTTTTGATTATACTCTTTGTTCACACACAACCTATTGAGCTTATTGTATTTGCATACATAGTATAATTAGGGTTGTGAGATTGTATGACTTAGAGTTGAGCTAAATTGAGTTCTCATCTTGTTTAGAGAACAACCATTGTATTGTGAACGATTATTGTGAGGTTCACTTTGTATTACACTAGTTCACCAAGAGGAGTGTATGGTGAGAGACGGGGTCGTCCCAAGAGGAGTAGGGTAGGTGGTAATGCCTAGAGAGAGGTTGTTATTCCTAATACTTCAGGGAGACACGAGCTAGAGACCAACACTTAAGGTGGTAGTTAGTGTGTTTACATTGTGAGTGTTGTAAAGTTTTTGGTGAGCTAGAAAACCAAGTGTCAGGTGTAAACGTTTGTCGGTGAGCGTAAAAAACCGAGTTGTGGTGTAAACGTTATTCAGGTAAGCATAGAAAACCAAGTTATGATAGTGAATTTCTCCCCGGGAGTGGGGAGCGGAGATGTAGGATGGAAGGTCCGAACTCCGTGATCATATTGTGTGTTTACATTGTTTATTTGCGCACTATCACTCTTGTTTGTTTATTGTTAATTTTACCCTAGTGTTAGTTTATATATATATATATATATTATATATATATATATATATATATATATATATATATATCCTTGCTCATATCTTGTTGAATATCATTCTTGGTAGGGTATATTGTTAAATAGTTTTAATTTGTCATAAATCAGATAGATTAGCATAAACCCTATTCACCCCCTCTCTAGGGTTCTTTCCTAGTGGCATTATGGTTCTTTTCACCAAGGTGTCTCGCCCCAGTGACCTCCTCCGCGGCCGTTTCCTCGCACCCATCAATGTCCATTACTGGTT